AAAAAAAATAAAAAAAAAATCTCAAAGGATACTTCCCAGAGAAGATGCCTGCCGATATCATGGAAAAAAACTCCTCTTCTCCGGTTGCCGCGACTCCGGCGAGCATGAACACTACACCTGATAAACCCAAAACGGCTTCTGAGCACAGAAAGGTTTGTAGCCTATTGATTCTGAACTGTAGCGCATTTATTTTCAAACAGCGCGCATATGCGCTCTATGATGCATTGAGAAATAGCTCCCGAAGTAGTTAGACAATTTGACTTATTTTTTTTCTTTTGCATTTTAGTCTTCTAAACCTATTATGGAGAAAAGAAGAAGAGCGAGAATCAACGAAAGTTTGGGTCAGCTGAAAACGCTAATCTTGGATGCTCTGAAAAAAGATGTAAGTAGCCTACTGGATATCTGATTGATTCTTACAATTACATCTGGATTGAATACTGATGAATCTCATCACATAGCCGCCTATATCTAAATCAAGCCCTATTTTCACACAGAGCTCCAGACATTCTAAACTCGAGAAAGCGGACATCCTGGAGATGACAGTGAAACATCTTAGAAATATGCAGCGGGCACAAATGACCGGTAAGTCGCCAGTCTAATGAACAATCAGAAAATAAGTAGCTTTATGAGAACTTCCATGCAGGAACTCGGCTTTCTGCACTTGTTTTAAATGCTGCGAGATATTTTTGTTCATCTACTGAATTCAACTAGATTGAAAGCAGTTTTATGAATGACTCAAAACAGTTTAATGTTCATCTACTCCAAATGATCTGACCGAATGTCTTACCTCATTCTCCCAACAGCTGCCCTGAACACGGACCCCACCGTTCTTGGGAAATACAGAGCTGGATTCAGTGAATGCATGAACGAGGTGACCCGGTTTCTGTCCACCTGTGAAGGGGTTAACACCGAGGTCAGGACCCGGCTGCTAGGTCACCTAGCAGGCTGCATGACACAGATCAACGCCATGAATTATCCAACACAGCACCAGATACCTGCCGGGCCTCCTCATCCATCCTTCAGTCAGCCAATGGTTCAGATCCCCAGCGCGACTCAGCAAGCCAACGTTGTGCCTCTTAGCGGAGTCCCCTGCAAAAGCGGATCTTCCTCCAACTTGACTTCTGACGCAACAAAAGTATACGGAGGTTTCCAGCTTGTGCCGGCAACGGACGGACAGTTCGCCTTTTTGATTCCCAACGCTGCCTTTGCTCCAAACGGTCCCGTTATTCCAGTGTATGCCAACAATTCCAGCACACCGGTGCCGGTGGCCGTGTCTCCGGGAGCACCGTCCGTCACGTCAGATTCCGTTTGGCGGCCTTGGTAGGCTATACCTATGGAAAGCAAAAAGCAAAACTCTTAAAGACTCTTAAAAGACAAATGACACTTGTTTTCTTTGTTCAGCGTTACTTTTTGTTCTATTTGTATGAAAATGTGTTTTAAGAGATGATGCACTATATTTGTATAGATCAAAAGGGAGAGAAGTTCATATTGAAATAAGTTTTGTATTGTTGAATTCCGTTCAATGCATTTTTTATATTTGCGGTATCTTTTCCACGTTGTGATGCCAAAGATATGTCGAATGCGCTTTCAAGTTTCTTCTTTTTGGAAGATAAATAAAAGACATATTAAAAATGTTTAGTTTTATTATTTTTCCACAGTTCGTGAACCTTTTCCTATTCTTACCTTAAAACAAGCAACATCTCGGGCCATATCGCATGCAAATTTAGACTAAATATGCTGCAGTCTTCAAAGAAGCGAAGTGTTTCTCTTAATCATTGAATATCACAAACTCAGGAAAACTTGTGTAAAATTACACTGGCGGAACACATTATACGGCCTCCAGTGTAGTATGGATGTTCACATACGTCGTTCTAAGTATTTTTTTCTGTGACTAGGTTTTCGTGGAAAGACGGCAAAGTCAAAAATTATTACAATCCACAATTCAATACAATCCATTTTTTTTATTTTTATTTTTCTCTTATCACTTAAGAGCATTTTTTTTTCTATAAAGCTAGAACTAATTAAATGAATATTCTCATAAAAAGCGATTAATTTACTTTTTTTTTTTTACAACTATAATTAGGTATTACGAACCTTTCCGATGACAGGACGAACAGCAGCCTGTTGGAAGAAGGTTGAATTAATACCCTTTATATAGCTTTACAGACATTTAAGGATTTTATCACGACAGTTTATAAACATTAGCCTACTACTGAATGCTGTTTATAAGTTGTGTGTGATAGCCAGCAAGAAGATTGTAAGAGGATGAAGCTGAATGCAAAGTTCAGCAGCAGAGAGAACGACTGCAAACGATTTTTATTACACGACCATTTAGCGCCATCTAGTAATTCAAATGTGAACTACACCTGCAGAGCCACCGAATGGACTGGTCAACACTTTCAGTTTAAAAGAAGTTTAGGACACTTGTTTGGTAATAACTATCCATATTACTTGGATAATGACAGTTTGGCATTTTATTTATTTATTTATAAAAATTACTACACTCAATAATTGATGATGATAAAGTATTAAGTTAAAAAAGTGGGCTAGGCCTACTTATTAAATACGCTTAGGCGTTTTTATCTGTGTGCATAAAGGATGCAGAAATATTTACACACAACTCACACAGCTTTTTTCATTTAAAACAGGAAAACACTTGACATGATGAAACGTTTCCTTCTTCATGCATCCCTGTGTTTCCCAGGTGTTTGTTGCCTATAGCTATTTCAGTGTGGCCATTCTTTGAAGGGGGCATTGCAGGTGTTTGCAATTACCTGCTATGAGGCACAAAGTGTGGATAAGTGCAATCATTTTGAATTTCCATCACACCTTTTGTGGTGCCGAGAGTATAGAGATTGAAACCACATGTTGGAGGAAAGCCTGTGAGGACATGTTCATCTCGAAACGGTCACCCTGCTTTTGCCCACCTTAACTTTGAGCGCACCACCATCTCGACAGATTTACAATGTTGTGGCGGGCCACATATTCATTTCCTGTTTATACCAAGGTTACAGCTGGATCCAGAGGCGAGCGGCGCAACCCAAGAAAAACCGCCCGACCCCCTTCAGACGTGCTTCCCCCTTCCTGCCCCTGGAGGACAGCTTTACGAGGGACTCAGGTTACTGGCGCACTGACCACTGTGCCGGGGCGCCCGTGCACATGTCACAACATGACCGGAGGGTTAGCCAGCTTGCATGTCAATTAACTTTTCCCACACTCTGTGCAAATGCAAGAGGCTTGAGAGGAGAAAGAAGGGTAAAAAGGGAGAAAAATAAAAAGGACTAAACGAAAGCCCCCTCTCTGCTTCCTCCTTGGCTCTTAAGTGTTACCATATGGCAAGATCTCTCCCTCTCTCTCCTTCTTTTTATTCTTCTATCTCTCTCTCCTTCTTTCTCTCTCTTAACTCGTCATCATTACCGCCTTGTCTTTGATTGTAGCCCTTACAAGCCTGGGATTTATGATTTAAGCACATGGATTGCTGTTCCAAGCTCTGGACTCGCTATGCAGCCCTCTTTCTCCCATTCGCACGCCTTTTCCCTTTCTCGCCCTCTCCTGCAGTTGCAGGGGAAAGGCTGTTTTCTGGCAGGAAATGAATAGCTCCCAGATGAGCTGAGGAACCTGAGAGGTCGTGAGAAAGAGGCGACCCCCCTTCCCACAGCCGGCGCACTGCCAGCCGCCGGGGGAATGTGGGAGAGCGTCTCTCTGACACACGCATCAACTCTCCGGCTGCTTGCCCAAACACCCCACCGCCTGCCTGCCAGCAAGCGCTGACGCACAGGGCCCATCTGAGGGGGGTAGAGCGGAGATGATTGGGGCAGTATGTGGGTAGTTAGACAGTAGAGGCATACGTGAAGACGAGGGCAGGGGACGGGAAGGAGGATGGAATAATGGAAGCCACGACAAGAAGAACACGTTCTCTAAATATAGTTACAGAGGTTATACATGCGCTAAGTGTTTTTATCTGTATGGGGGATATCATTCAGAGGGAAGCAGAAGCTGGAGAGTCGATTACAACTAGCTGCAAATGCAGATAAACAAATGCATTATTCATTATAATATTCACTTCGATTTACCCTTGAATATATTACCTTGTGATGATCACTGTGCCAAAAAAGTGGTTGTTTAATTACTATGGGTTGTTTCACTTTTATATAAACATAAAGCGTAACTTGGTTTGAGATTGAGAGCCTCTAAACAACTTTTTCAAGTTCTCAGACAGGAGCAGCAATGGTCAAGGGCTTTCATTCTGACAGGAGCAAATAAGGATTAATGTGAATGACCAATGAGTAATCAAAGCGACACTTTTGGCACAGGAGATGAAGGAGATGGCAAAAGCTCTGCAGTATTTAAAGTTAAAGGAAAACAAATACATAAACACTATATAGATGCACGGAAATTCTTACAAAAGAAAAAAGGAATATATTTATTTTGCCTATATGGCAAAAAAGGGGATAATTTTAAAATGTACAGCTTAAGACAATCCACTTAGTATTGAAATGTTTTGGCTTAATGTGGCTTGTTATTATGTATAACAAGCTAATACGAATATATTTAAAGGGGTCATATGATGCGATTTCAAGTTTTCCTTTCTCTTTGGAGTATTACAAGCTCTTGGTGCATAAAGAAGATACGACATGTTTGAGAGAGGTGGGGCATAGAGGACCTGCAATAATGTACAGTATTTGTAAAATAATGTGTTTTTTTGAACATTAAAGCATGTCAACATATTCTGTTACACCAAATACACAAAATAATGATCTTTAAAATAGCATCATATGACCCCTTTAATATCTAATATACGCTGCCGTTTGGGGTTGCTAAGATTTTTTAACGTTTTTGAAAAAAAGTCTCAACAATGCTGCAGTAATAGTAAATACAGTAATATAGTGAAAATTGTTACAATTTAAAATTCTATTATAATTTGACAGTATTTTATTGTAAATATTTCACAATGGAATTTATTCCTGTGATAGCAAATCTGAATTTTCACTGAGTCCTTCATAAATCATTGTAATATGCTGATTTGGTTTTTAAAAACATTTCTTATTACTATATGTTGAAAACAGTTGTGGTGTTTCATATTTTTGTGGAAACATTGATGGACTTATGATCTATTTCATGTGTCTTTCGTGAATACAAGTATTAATTTCCCTTAAAAGAAAAAATATATGTAAATAAACAAATAAACAGACAAACAAACTTACTGACCCCAAACTTTTAAATGGCAGTGTATATAAAACAGTTTTCTAATACTCAATACATTTCCTTTCTGGATGTCTAATGTCTCTGGTGGTTTGTATTTGTGTGAATACTGACACTTTACTAGCACTTTTCGTTTTAATCTAAAGCTGCAAGGTTTTTCTGGTCAAGGAGAGACGGATATGAACTTCAAGAGATCAAAAGGATTCAAGCAGGTGTGAGGACACGTGTTTCCTGTGATAGGCTTGGGTGATGTCCGTTAGGACCTTTGGGAATCTCCTAGGATGTATATTTACACACACAGACACACATAGCCTATACAGACATATGCATGAGACAGACACATAAAAGCAACTCTGTAGCTGTTGTTGTTTTTCTACTTCAAACAACTTAACAGCTCTAGGAAATGTTTTAAAGCTTAGTTCATTTTTCAACTTGTGTACTACAATCTTACAGAACACACACCATTTTAATCCTAGAGTCAAATTATTGTATGCTTCAGTCTACATTCTTTCCTTAAGATTAGGTGGTGCTTGTATTCTGAAATCTTGCTCATAGGTGACGTTTTGTTCCCATTGTCATTCTTCTGGACTTTGCGGTACCAGATAGAGAGGCTCATATCATGCTAAAGGTTCCATGAGCTTCTGAAACACAGGGATGTGAAATGGCATTATCCCACCGCCTCTCACACCGTCCACGCAAAATGGTTTAAGCCGCAGCGATGCTTCCGTGGGCCACTGGCTAATCCCCTTTCTTGTATAAAACCAGTGGCGGGACCGCTACAGCGCTGGGCAGTGCGATAGTGCACTAGTGTGACAAGCCATTAAAGTGCCGTACTGTCTGTGTGTTTATTTACATTCTTGTCTTTCAGATCCACCACAGAGCTTTTATTCTTGCCAGCGATCACTCTAGGAAGGTACCCTGATCTGACACCCACAGGCTGCTGTTCTGCCGATGCTCTTTTGCATCATACATAATGAGACGGGTAGGGGTGGGCATGCTAAGGTTGCGTCATGTGTGTCATATCTTTTGAATGTCCAATTTTTAAGAGGGTTACTTAAGTTTGTATTCTTTCTTTCTTACAAAAGTTAGTTGTAGGGCAGTCAAGCATGTTCAAAAGGTAATCGAGTCCTGTATCAGAATCTACTA